CCCACCGCCAACTCTTGGGCTACTCTTTTACCAAACGAATAGTGGGATTGACCGTCACATTATAACGCCCCCACGGCTGAAAGGGCGAGTATGTTTGGTGTGACGGGGATTCGAACCCGCGACCTGCAGATTGCGAGTCGAGCGCCATGCCGGGCAACACAAAGTAAAACAAAGGTCTAACTTATGTCTGCTTTTAAGTTTTAGGTATTAAAACTCTTTCCCCTATCTGACAAAAAACAACAACAAAAAACATACAAAATATGTTTTTAAATATTATACAAACTTTATAACATTACATTAATAATATAGATAGTCGTAGGGCTATTAGTGTTCAAAGTAACCTTTTATATATTTGAAATAATTTTTAAAAACGCGAAGTAAAATGCTATTCTTTTAAAATAAAATAATTTAAGATGAAATATAATCCTTTAAGATATAATATGATAAAGCAAGATAGCTTTCTGCTGCTCGTTTATTTCGGACAGAAAAGCAGAAATATATTTTTCATTATCTTTTTATATACCAAAAAGGAACTCTGACTAGGTAGTGTTTTTGCTTTTCACACAAAAGAAGAGTTCTAAACCATTTCATACATTTTCTTATGATCTAATTGTGTAGTGATAGAGTCACATGGATCGTGGCCCAAGAATACATATTTAACGATGTAGTGCTACAGTCACACGAATCTAGGTCCTGGATTATAGATCTAACGTTGTAGAGCTATAGTCACACGGATCGCTGTCCAGGATTACAAATTTATTGGTGTAGTGCCGCAGTCACACTGATCGTGGCCTAGGATTGCAGATCTAACGATGTAGTGCTACAATCACAGTGATCGTTGACCAGGAATACATAACTAACGGAGTACTTCTACAGTCACACGGATCGCCGTGGCTAACAGCTGTTACATCTTGAATACTTCTAACTAGAAATACTTTTTATATGTGATCTTAATCGGAAAACTCAGTAAGGTCCTACTTAATTTAATGCTTGAAAACATAAAAATTGGGTCTACTTTTCTGTTTACTTACACACTTTAGCTTAAAATACTTATTTTTTGTTATTAGCTTTGATGATATATACAGCAAACTAAATGAAGAGAAATTTTGAATAGGTGTGACCAAGTCATATCAATTTTTGGGAACAGTCCTCAATTTTGGACTTGTCGCCGGAAGAAAATCGTCTTTTAAAGTGTCACCGATCAGTCAGAATTCAAGTTCTGAAAACCTTTTCTAAAATGAGTTCAAACTTATGTTCATTTGCAAACAAAAATATTTAACAGTTAAGTGGTTAAAGTTTTTTTTTTATAGAATTCCCAATGTACTTCTAACAAAAAAAAAAAAGAGAACCAGTTTGTTTTGGAATTTCGCGCAAAGACTACACGAGGGCGTATCTGCGCTAGCCGTCCCTAAC